TTGGAGGATAGAACAACTCCTAGGTAGTCTTTTGTATTACTCATTCCAGAACCCCCAAGGTTTAAAAAAAAAAAAAAAAGCGTGGTGTGTGTGTCTATGTGTGTCCAAATTACAGATCCCTATTAGGATTTGCTCCCTCAGCCCTAGGGATGCAAGGAGAAACTATAAAGAAGGACTACATGTCAAGTTCTGCACTGGTGTGTTAAATATCCCATCTTTTTAGGCCTCACAGCAACCCCATTGTATAGGTGGTAAGAACAAGGGAAATATATCGTTCAAGATTAGACAGCTACTACGGGGGAAACAAAAATTCAAATCAAGCTCTAAGGGAGTTCTGAGCTCCCTGAGCTCAATTTGCAAGCTTCCCCTGACTGACTTGGCCCCATATGGCTGGGCGATAGTTGCTTGTTGAATGGAGAGCCTTGCCCACCACTGCCCTGCCAGCCAGGGCACCTCCACCCCTGCTAACTGCCCCAGCCAGTTAGGGGTTGCCCCAAAGTTTCAGGGTTGAGGGCTGGGCTTCATCATCCCACCACGGTGGGAGCCTGCACGGACAGGGCTGTGGTGGCTTTGGCTCTTTTCAGCACTTCCAGACTAGATGCTGTGCCGATCCGAGGGGCACGGGGTCTGCCTTCCCAGTGGTGCCACAGGGACTAGGCAATACACCCAAGAAGTGGTGGGAAGACTTAACTCCTTGTTAGGGAAACGTTGGACCAGTGAAAGACAGAAAATCGAAATGAGCCAGCATATAAATGCCCCTCCTTTCTCCTCCATCAGACTGTCTGAGGGGTAGCAGATCCACTTAGTCTTAATGGAGACCCAGCGACCAGCTTTGTCTTCTCGTGAAGCTGAGACCCAGCTCAGTAAGGTACCACTTTCCATTTGCTTTCTTTCCTTCTCTGCCTCACTTGTACACATCACCCCAATAAAGGCTAACACCTGTATGTTCTGGCATAGGCTCTGTTTTCTAGGGATCCTTGGCTAAAACATAAGCATATATTCTTTTATTTATAAGACTAGAGGCCCAGAGCACAGAAATGTGCACTGGTGGGGGCAGGGCCTGCGGGGATCGGCCCACTGTAGGAGCACCACTCATCCCGGTCAGCTGTGGATCTGCTCTCTGAGCAGCTGCTGAATGAGGAAATTAGTCTGAGCTGATATTTTGGGGTAATGTCTTGGGTAAAGACGTGTTCTGTGTCCTGGAGGAACCTGGCAGAGACCTTTGCACCCCAAAGCCACTTGGTGAATGTCCTTGAGGTGGGATGCCAGGTTGGTGACACCATCCGGGATGTTCAAGGCAGCCATGCTCCAGGATCCTCAGCCATCAGGACAGCCTCCAAAAGGGGGCCCCAGTCACATTCCTTCTTGCCAGCTCCCTGTACTCTTTCTAGAACACACCTTTGAGGGTATGCATCAGCTGGTGGGATCAGACGAGAATCTGGATTGTCTCAGGTATTTGATAGGTGCAGAGACTCAACCTCACCCTGGGCTTGCTAGCGGCTGCTTCCACTGTGGGAGCACACTGACCACCAGGGGGCAGCTCCTGCATTGAGCATCTGCCCCCTGGTGGTCAGTGCACATCATAATGATTGGTCAAGCAGTCATTCTGGTTGTTCCACCTTTCGGGCGCTGGACTTTTATTATATAGGATGGCAATGTTCCCACCCGTCCCTCAAAAGTCCAAGAAAAAAAGAAAAACAAAACTTTTCTTAGTAGATGTTATCCTTCAGTGATGATAGCTAACAGACATTTTGAAAGAAAAATAAACCACCACAGTATATGGTTATGGGAAGCAGTGCAGGAAGATGACACTAACTGTCCCTTTGTGGTCTCCTTGTACCTGCCCTGACCACCACCTGCTTTTCTCCCCTTGCTTCTAGACAAAAGGGTTGTGTTAATGCTTTCTTGATCAGAAAGGCTGTATTTGTCTTACCGTGACGGTATGTGTAGCCTGTTCGGATGGAAAGTATCAGTTACCCTCAGGCCATGTCCTGGTTCTCCTGCTTATTAGCTGTGTAACTTGAGAAAGCCATAATATCTCTGAATAGATACTTCCTCACCTGTAAAATGGAAAGAAATCTACCTGTGTCACCTTTCCTATAGGCTGATGTGATGTAGTCTAAGTGCTTTGAAGCCCCATACAGATGTGCTTTAACTGTGTGAGGGGAGGTAAGAAAATGACTCTAATTAAAGTTTCCCTCACTGAAAATAATGAAACATTTCAGCAGAAAAATGTAATGGAATAAATCACTTAAATCTTCTTAAATATCTTCAAGATAATTATTATGATGAAAAGTTAAAGGGTTGAGACTCCTGGCAAAAATGGAATGAGAGACTGGATTTTCCTTCCCAGATGAAACAAACAAGTATATACGTGTGTGTGTGTGTGTGTGTGTGTGTGTGTGTGTGTGTGTGTAATTTGCAAGATACTGGACATCAAGCAATGCAACAATTCCCTGAAAGAAAGCAAACAAACGCAGTGAGCAGATGGAGCTGAGGGTCCCAGAAACCAAGGTGTCTGGAGTTGAGAGCAGAGTTTCAGCAGTGCCAGAGATGTGCAGACAGAGAACCCTGGAGATGCACAGCGGGTCCCCTCGCTCTGTTATTCAGCAGAGTCCTCATCAGCACAGGCATGCGAGAGGACTACTTGAAGCTGAGGGAAAACCACCCAGAAAGATGAGCGGGAACAGTAGCTGGCACTTACACCAGGCATGGAATAGTGCCTATTTCTCCCAGTCAGACCAGAAAACCTCTTCACTCACCAGGCCCTGGGTAGAGGACTTAGAACAGCCTTGCCTCTACACTGGGAAACAATTGACCTTAACTAAACATCGCTCTGGTCCAGCCCAACAAATCTTAAAACCAAGAGGATCGAGTTGTTTCTGAGTAACTAAACTACATTCCAGAACAAAGCTTAACAATATTTATAGGAATACAAAAATACCTAGTGTATTTGCCTGGCAACCAATAAAAAAATTACCAGGCATGCAAAGAAACAGCAACATATGGCTCATAATAATGAAAAAATATTCATCAAAAATGACTCAGAACTGACAGCAGATGTTAGAATTAGCAGAGAAGGACACTAAAAGGTACTATAATTGTATTTCAAATATTCAGATCTTAAATAGGGACAAAGATTTTTTTAAAAAAAAAAGATTCAGATCAAACACCTAGAGATGAAAACTGCAATGTCTGAGCTGAAAGATACCCAGCATGGGATTAGCAGTATATCCAGAATGAAATACTACTCAGCAATGAAAAGGAATGAACTATGGGTACAACGTTGATGAATCTCAAAGTAATTGTGCTGAATGAAATGATCCAGACACAAAGCTTGCATACTGTAAAAATCCTTTTATGTGAAATTCTGAAAGTGCAACATAATCCATAGTTACAGAAAGCAAATCAATGATTACCTGGTTGGGGGCAGGGAAGAGATTTCTAAGAGGCACAAGGAAACTTTTGGAGGTGATAAACATGTTCGCTCTTTTTATTTTTATTATGGTTTTCTGGGTATATACAGATGTCAAACGTGTGCACTTTAAATATGTGCAGTTTATTGTGTACTGGTTATAACTCAGTAAAGCTATTTTTAGAAACTAAAGTGATAAAAGTATATTTAGAAAAACACTGCACACAGCTTGGAAAATAGAGGACTTATATAACCACATGTTTCCTTTAAATTTTGTAAATTTTGGAGAATGGTAAAATAAATATTTAAATCTGTAATTTTTATTACATCTACATTCATAGTGTCTGTAGACTATATCTATTGTATAATATCTATAGTAACTAGAATGGTAACTAAAATTTAATTTGGGGTTTCTTTCTTTTTTGACAATACATGAAAAAAATCTCTTACCCTATTCTTTAAAACTACATATTTTGATGAGTATTTTTTATTTGTTCACTTATTCATTTACTCAATTAAATTATCAAGAACTTGCTACAAATCAGGCAGTTTTCAAGACACTAGGTATATGACTCTGGGCTTTGCTTTCCTCGTTTGTAAATGCTCATTCTTGGATGCCTACACCACCCTCCCACTGTGCTGATAGATAGCATGTGTAGGGGGTGGTCAGGCTCTGAGATCCTCAATGATAAAGCTATCTAGGTGGTATGACAAAGATATGACTCCCTAACTTCTCTGCTCTATATCTTTCCAAAGAGTAATTTTAGGCCACGTAAAGCATTTTTGTGGCTGCTCTGTCTGTGGAGTAGCCTTCTTTCTGTTCCACTGCTTCACTAATAAGCTGTCTTTTAACTCTGAAAAGAAAAGGCATCTTTGCCATGAAAGTTTTCATGAAAATGAAATTAGGCATTTTAGTTTTGTTTGTTTAAAAATGCCCATAAAAACTTCTAAGGCAGTTTGAAAATTAATTCTCAATTGCTTCAAAGCGCAAACTCACATACAGTTATAAGTTAGCACTTAGTCTAGCGCAGGGCAGCAGACCAGGCTTTTGTCCAGCCTTTCTCCTTAATCTGAGTGTCCCCAGTCCCACCCACCCTTTCTTTAAGCAAAAGTTAGATGTTAATAGACACTAAATTGCTTCTCTTTTTGAAGTCCTTCTCACAATTATCTCTAAGCACACACAATCTACTTCCTTTTATTTGTTTTTTTAATTCTTTATTGTTTAAAGTATTATATGCATGCTGTTGCAAATGATGAGTTGAATTTTTTAATTAAAAAAAAAAAAGCCAGAAATACACAAGGCAAATTTCAGTTTTCCTTTTTTCCAAATCTTACTTTATAAATTAAGAAAATTCTACACATTTTTAACCATAATTGGCCATACGATTGCCTAATTTTGCAGTGGTAATTTACTCCCTAACACCCCTTTCTGTTTGATATGAGGTCTGGCCTAAAAAGCTCTCTAAGAATCTGTAATTCCCTGCTTCATTAGAGATACAGCTGTGTGAGCATGCTAATTATTTTTTTGAATGAAATAATTTATGTATTCTCATGTTCCCAATGTATCTGTCCTGGTTTCCCCCAGTTTGATGCCGACCGAAATGAGGATGAGGTGTTCTATGACATCAGCATGGCGGTGGACAGCAAGTTATTTCCGAACAAAGAGGCTGCAGCAAGTAAGTCCCTGTGTCCTTCGAGCAACAGTCTGTCCTGATCACCTGCCAGGTGTCCGGGGCTTTGTAGTCAGGTTGGAGCTCAACACATTGCTGTGAGGTTTTGAGGATGACGCTGTTCTCAGAGCTTTATACTTTCTGGTCTAGAAATCAAGGTACAAAACAAAAGAGAAAGGAAGGCCCTTATAGTAACTTGCCTTTCTTCCAGTCATTACACATGCAAATTAGTAGATAGTCACCATGTAGCATAAGACCTATCTATTTATATAAAAGCCTAAGCGACCATTACGACAGAACAACCTAGACAACTGGTCGCTATGACATGCACTGACCACCAGGGGGCACACGCTCAACGCCAGTGGGGCCTGCCAGCAAATCTCCCAGTCCCTCCCCCCAGCTGGCAGGCCCCGATCACCCAATCGGGGCCAGGCCCCTGGGCTGGGACAGGGAACCGGGAGTGGATGGCAGCAGATGCAACCCCTTTCCCAGGGGGGGCCAAGGGCCGGCTCCCTCCTCAGGGCCGGCAGCGAACCTCCTGGGTCCTTCCCCTATTTCTCCCCGCCGGCCGGCAGGCCCCAATCGGCCCGCCACCCACCTGCCTCAGTGGCGGTTGGCCGTCTCCCCCAGGCCGGCAGACCCCAACTGCCCTATTCAGCCCTGCCGGCCAACCTCCTGGTCCCTCCCCCTGGCTGGCAGGTCCCAATCGCCCGATCAGGGCCAGGCCCTGGGCTGGGATGAGGAACCGGGGGTGGGTGGTGGCGGACAGGGGCAGCAAGGGACGGGGAAGGGAGGTGGGGAGGCAGGGAACCTGATAGGCACTGACCTCCAGCCAGGCCTAGGGATCCCTCCCGTGCACCCTGCCGGCCAACCTCCTGGTCCCTCCCCCTGGCTGGCAGGTCCCAATCGCCCGATCAGGGCCAGGCCCTGGGCTGGGATGAGGAACCGGGGGTGGGTGGTGGCGGACAGGGGCAGCAAGGGACGGGGAAGGGAGGTGGGGAGGCAGGGAACCTGATAGGCACTGACCTCCAGCCAGGCCTAGGGATCCCTCCCGTGCATGAATTTCACAGGCCCCAATCGGCCCGCCACCCACCTGCCTCAGTGGCGGTTGGCCGTCTCCCCCAGGCCGGCAGACCCCAACTGCCCTATTCAGGCCTGCCGGCCAACCTCCTGGTCCCTCCCCCTGGCTGGCAGGTCCCAATCGCCCGATCAGGGCCAGGCCCTGGGCTGGGATGAGGAACCGGGGGTGGGTGGTGGCGGACAGGGGCAGCAAGGGACGGGGAAGGGAGGTGGGGAGGCAGGGAACCTGATAGGCACTGACCTCCAGCCAGGCCTAGGGATCCCTCCCGTGCACGAATTTCATGCACTGGGCCTCTAGTGTTATTCTAATTCAGAAAAATCTAATCTAGCGTACACTTTGTACAAGAATTCAAAGTTCCAATTCCTGCAGGACTCCCTAACCCATACAGGTCTCACCTTTGCCGAGGTTGGGGGGAGGAGGGGAGGAGCCTCTTCTTGGATCTGAGAGCCACTCCCACCTGCCCCACAATCCCTGCTGTGGCCCTGCCCCTTCTCTTCCTAGTACTCTCACCTAGAAGTTTGCCATTGGAGGGTCATGCAGAGCAATCATGCCCCCATAGTGGGCAGGTCTCACAGTTCTGTCCTTGACCCTTCTCTCCCCGTCCTTTACTCTCTGGGTTAACGTGGTGTCCCTTTTGGCTTCAACTATCAATTGCATGTGATGACTCTCAATCTTTGGCTCAGTCCTGATGTTTTTTTCTCAGTTATGGCCTCAGTGGATAAAGACCAAAAAGTTCTAGGCTGTAAAGAAAAAGGCTAAACACTTAACATTTTAAGCCATATTTAAAGCCCACTAAGAGTAGCTTTAAAGAAAGGCAGGATTAAAAGGCAGACCTACAGAGCACAGATAACTGATTAACTCAGCTGCCTACTTTTCCAATGATGTTTACACAAAGATGGCCTACTGCAGGGAAAGGTGCAATATTGAGAAGCACATAAGACCAGCTAAACAGGCGGCTGCTGCTCTGACAAATGCATGACACCGGTGCTCTTAAAGTTGATATCTTACTTCGAACACTTATCAGACCTCTAACAACAGATATCTAATTGCCAGATAGCTTCAGTTTGCTAATACAGTGTTGGGGGTGGAGGGCTGATGTAGGCTGCCCCTTCTTTAGAACTGCCAGCATTTTGTGGCTTTCACAGGGCATTTTTCCAACGTGGCCTCGTCCTGCAATAATACAGCCGGGCTGGCTTCTGTGCTAAGTCCGTACATTGCCTGAGGACCGGCCTTTGCCCTTATTCTCCCACATCCCCTTGGCCCAGGGCACAGTGCCTGCGACCTGCAGAGGTTTAAAGGGGCTCCTCTTTCCTCTCTACACCTCCGACTTCTCACGGAGGGTGTTTGTGCTCACGGCTCCGACTCCCACTAGCTCCTTCCACTCCCAAGTCCTGAGAGCTGGGTTCTGCTCCAGCCTCCACAGCAGTCTGTTCCGTCTGTGTCAGCCCTCGGTGAGTGACGTGTGCCCGGGAGGGACTGTGGGAACTAAAAATAAGCGATGCCGACTTCCAGGAAGCAGCTACTTCGCAGCTCCAAGCTATTGTTCTCATTAAGGAATGGGCCAGGGCTGTCAGATCCGTCTCTCCTCCATGAGAAAACAGAAACCTGCACTTGTAGATGAAATCTCCAGGCTCAGGAAAGTCGGTGACTCACCCAATTAAACACGTCTTGCCGGTGTCCTCTGCTCTGTGAATTGCCAGTCCCAGGTTTTGTTCCTTTACTCTTTCCGTCTCTCTGAACCCTCTGCAGAGTCCCAGCTGCCCACGGCTCTCAGATCACCTCCATGGGAATGGCTTTCAATTCCTTTTTAAATGTTTAAAATAAAAACTGTATATATGTAAGATGTGCAGCACAGGAAATGATGGCTACAGTCAAACTAGTTGACATATACCAGTAGATACCGTTTTTCTATGTGTGATCAATGGCACCTGAAGTATATTCTTTTCACAAAGTTCCAGTATTCAGAGTATTGCCGTCAGGCATCATGCTGTACATTAAACCTGTAGACTTGTTCATCCTACCTCACTGCGACTTGGTACAACGTTAGCCAACATCTCCCCGCTTCGCCCACCAGCGTGCTCATGGTCACCATCATGCTGCTCGGCTTCTGTGTGCTTGACTTTTTCTATTCCACATATAAGTCAAATCATGCAGTTTTTCTCTTACAAGAGAGCAGGGCAAACATGTTTGACCCTCACAGCCCACACTGATCCTCTGTCCTCGGGGTCACCGTGGAAGTCCAGTCTTGTCACCGTCTCCAAGGCACTCACCCAGGCTGTGTCATTCCTTGCCCATCCCTGGCCTCTCCTGTCTGTCATGAATATTGTTGTTGCCATGGGAATCCTCCTAGAATGCCTCTCTGATCCCCCTGCCTCCCTGACAAAAAATGAAACAAAGCAAAACTTTCAATGGCTTTCCTGCAGGCTGAGCACCAGTGCTCTTAGCGTGGGGAACATACCCTTAGCTTTCCCACAGTGGTCCTGCTCCCTCTAAGGCATCACCTCCCCCATCACCCACACCAGCTTCCTCCAGGGTCTTGGAGACCTCAGGTATCTTCCTGCCTCTGACCATTTTGCACAAGTTGCTTGGAAACGCCTGGGCAAGCATGTCAAACTCGCAGTTGGCAGGCCGCATTTGCATCCCTGGACTCTCCCAACTCCTAGCCCCATCCATCACCTGGTCAGATCCTACTCTGTATCTCAGATCAAATGTGATTTCTTCAGGAAGCTTGCTCAGGCCCCATCCCAGACTAGATTAGGCCCTGGAGTGGCACCCCGCACTTTTCTTTCAGGGTATTTATCACAATTGTGATTATATAATTAGAAATATGATTGTTTAAAAAAATCTATTTCCTTTTTTAGAGTGCAAGGCTTCAAAAGGAGAGTGTGTGTGTTGTGTGTGTGTGAGTGTGAGTGTGTGTGTGTGTGTGTGTGTGTGTGTGATACCCAGTGTGAATCTCACAGGAGATGGCATAGAAGGCCTCTCCCTACTGGTCACCTCAGCTGGGCCGCTCAGCTGAGTTGGCCAACTCACAGCCCCACCACATTTTCATTGGCTCCAGGGCAGAGTGTAGGTTTGTTGCCTCCCTGCCATAGAATGCAGTTCCCTGAACCTCTGCACCCCTTCAGCCCGTCTGCAGTGTCCCCCACTCCCTGCAGCCCTCCATTAATGCTTCTAGTGGGGCTTTGGGATCCAGCACTCAGTCTCTCTGGGCCTCAGAGAATTGGGAACAGTAAATGGTTTATGTGTGTACAGCACATGGCTGTCACATTGAAAAGACTATATATATCCTATATAATAAAAGGCTAATATGCAAATTGACCAAATGGTGGAACAACCAGTCACTGTGACATGCACTGACCACCAGGGGGCAGATGCTCAATGCAGGAGCTGCCCCCTGGTGGCCAGTGTGCTCCCAGAGGGGGAGCACTGCTCAGCCAGAAGCCTGGCTCACTGCCGCTGCCAAGCACAGCGGTGGTGGCGGAGCCTCTCCCACTTCCACCGCAGCGCTAAGGATGTCTAACTGATGGCTCCCGGACTGTGAGAGGGCACAGGCAGGGCTGAGGGATACCCCCACACACACACCCCAAATACACAAATTTTGTGCACCGAGCCTCTAGTGTGTGTGTGTGTGTGTGTGTGTGTGTGTGTGTGTTAGCATCTCTGCTGAGGATTTGAGGAGTCCCAAGGACAGACCACATCTTACTAAACACAACTCTTCCCCATTTCCCTGGGTCTGCTTCTGCTCTCCCTCTCTCCCTTCCTCCCTCCTTCCGCCCCAGGATGGAAGAACTGGAAAATCCCCCTTCCCTTCTCACCCAGAACAGTCCACCCACACCAGATCCCTCAAGGAGCTCACTTTTTAGTCCCAAATACTGTCCACATATTTTTTCAAAAAAAGGGCTCTTTAAAGCAATTCAAATGCAAACTGTGACTAACATTTTCCATGCTTGTTGGAATTAGTGCTGGCTGCTCCACCCAGCTCCTGGGTAACTCCTGGAACACTTGCAAGGGCTTTAATGTTTGTGGAGCAAATGAAGATCAAGATCCACAAAAGTCAGATGTCAGTGTCCTTTTACTCACTTCAGTCCTTTGACATATATGTGTCGAATGCATAGGATTTCTAAGTACCATTCTTAGACACAGAGATGAAATATGCCCTACCCAAAGCTGCTTATAATTTAGTGGGAGAGACAGAACTGGGAGAGGCCGCTTTCCTCAGAGGGGCAGATGAAGTGCTAGAGGCGTTCTATCCACCCTTCACTGCCCAGAAGCCCTGCCTTGAGGAAGTGTTTCTTTATTTGGTACTCAAAGTGGGAGGAGGGCATTCCTAACACTTCAGATTGAAGATCCACTAGGTCCTAGTGACTAGGAAGAAAACGCCGGTGGCATTATCCCAGGAAGCAGTACGGTTAGCCTTGTGGTACCGCTAATGCCAATTTGTATCATCTTCCCACTTAAATTTAAGGAGACGACCTGGAAATGATATTTCCAAAAACCATTCGGCATCTAAAACTGGTGACACTGAGTGCTCCCTGTGGACTTTTAATTCAGCTCATATTTTTCTCTGGTGTCTACAGAAAGGATATTTTTTTAAAGATGAAAAGAAATCAAGAAATTCAAAATTGGGGGACGTGAAAGCCATACTATCACTTTTTTCAAATGTCCTAATTTTGCTCTTTTCTTTAGATAACAAGAGAATTCATTGAAGTTGTTTTATATGTTAAATTGCCCAATGAAAGAAGGCAAAATGTGTACATATGGCTATATTTACCTCCCTATTTTGTATAGTCAAACCTTAGACTGTTATTAAAGGTCTCGTTTTCAGCAAACCAAGCAACCAATACCAAAGAAAATGAAAGCTATTCAGTCATTATCTGAGCTGATAATGACATCCTTTGTCTGTTGCCTTCTATAATAAATTAGTACTGTTGCCAAGAGCAACAATGTGTCAAGAAATTCCTCCCCTTTATGATACAATAAAATTTCTGTTAAAAGCATTTTTTCAGGAAAGCCAATCTCTTCTTCCTTATAAGCACAGGTTGTGGGTTATTGTTTTTGTAAACAAAGATCTCTTCATTCTGTTGCTGAAAACAGTTTTCTAATAATCTTGTTCCAGTTTCAAATATTAATGTATAATATCTCTTAACTGGGCTGTGTACAAGCCCTTCACTTTGTGCTTTTCTAAAACCACCAAAAGAACAGTTTCTAATTAAATAAAGTAAGTAGGACACAAGAACTAAAACAACTACATGTTTAATAAGCCTTTGAGTTCATATCATGTTGCTCACTTCATATGAATCGCTGTACTAGAAAATAGATATGTGAGATGAGGGAATCATTTAAGTACTGATCTCCGCTTCCACTAGGCAGCGGTGGGTAATATCCATACTATAGAAGTAGTGAAAACTAAATAAAATTGCCATCACCTTGAATGATGCTATTACTAGCAGCCCCTTGGTTGTCACCAGCTGGAGTGACACACCTTGATTTTACTTCTAATTCTTCCGTTTCTGCAGCCACCCAGGGACGCGTCTCATCATCAACCATTCATTTTCTTAGAATGTAGAGGAGACGGCAGGTCCTTGAGGTCCTCTCCTATCGAGTGCTAGAAGGAATGATCATAGTTATAAAGCCATTGGGATGGCTCCTGCTTAGAATTTGGAGTCAGCGGATGTGTAGGAGAAATGGGGGCTATAATTTCTATCCTTATCTCACTCACGTTCTGCAGGACCTTGGCCAAGTTATTTGACTTCTCCGCATCTCATGTTTCTCTTTTCTAAAATGAGGAGGAGGAAGTCTGTGAAATACTGGTTCAAAAATGTCTGTGCTCTTATCATAGAAAAATAATGCATTCTACTTCTGACATATTTCCTGCCTCACACACATACTAGTACATGCAAACTGACCTTTAAACTGGGCTTTCAGGCAGTCAGGTATCTTGGCCCTAAGACATGCCTTATACAAAACTAGAGGCCCAGTGCACAAATTCGTGCATGGGTGGGGTCCTTAGGCCTGGCCCGATAGGGGCCCATAGGAGGTGGGGCTGGCAGGGAGGAGGGGCCGCAGGAGGGCTCCAGGGCATGTCCAGCCCATATCACTCAATCCCAATCAGCCAGACCTCAGCCCCCTACTGGTCGGAGCATCTACCCGCTGGTGATCATTACACATCATAGCAAGCGGCCTTAACATATCATTAGCATATTATGCTTTGATTGGTTGAACAGACGACCAGATGACCAGACACTTAACATATTAGGCTTTTATTATATAGGATTTTATTTGAAAAATACCAAAGCAAAAAGAGAGAGAGAACGAAAAATGCCAGACACACAAAGATATAAAAAGTATCTAGACTAATAATAGAGGAATATGCAAATTGTCCGGGATGCCATTACAGTAACATTAATGACCAGAAGGCTGCCTGGGGCAACCAGGCTGGTAAAGGAGTTAGTGAGGGACGACCAAATGACTGAACAGCAGGCTGCATGGTGTGACCAGGCTGGCAGGGGGGTGCAGTTGGGGGCAACCAGGCCATCAGGGGGCACAATTGGGAGTGACCAGGCCAGCAGGGGGGCAGTTGGGAGAGACCAGGCAGAGGCGGTTAAGGTTGATCAGGCTGGTGGGGGGGTGGGGCAGTCAGGAAGGCAGACAGGCAGGTGAGCAGTTAGGAGCCAGCAGTCCTGAATTGTGAGAGGGATGTCCAACTGCTGGTTTAAGCCCAATCCCATCAATTGGACATCCCTTGAGGGGTCCTGGATTGGAGAGGGTGCAGACTGAGCTGAGGGGACCCCCATGCATGAATTTCAAGCACTGGGCCTCTAGTATATTATAATTCCACTTTAAAAATTATATATGTATAATTAAATTTTTGAGTATCACCCCTCTAGTCCCACTCTGTTAATAGCGTGTGGTGCATAGTCTTCCACACTCCATTCTAGTGAGCACCTTATTAACAATGGAATTGTCAAGGGCCTAGCACTGTGCCACACACACCTATGTGACTCTCAGTAGCAACCCTGTAGTTAGCTACTTTTCCAAAATGGTTCGACGGGTCAATTATGTCCATTTTGAAAAACTTCATTATCCTTTAAAAAAAAAATAAAGATACAAACAATAAACAGTAGCGTGACTGCTTAGTACTTAGTTTGGTAAGCAACAGGGCTGATGATGAGAAGAGAAGAGTTGAGAAAAAAAACTATGTGAGAACCTACCTAGATTCTCTTTTCGGAAGAAAGTATGAAAGCAGCCTCTCTGGAGAGGTCCATACCTAAGATGTTTTTATCAAAACTCCATCTTCATTCAATATTACTCATTGCATATTGTGGCCAAGAATTATTTGGCAAGGCCGAGTATAAAATGAAACATGGAGTCATTGATTTCCTTACAGGGTGCATGGTGTTTTATGGGCAGCACTGACTTCTGTCTTTCTGGCTAGTTAGGTGATTTCTACAGGGGTGGGCAAAAGTAGGCTTACGGGTATGCATTTATTCTTGTACTACTAGTTATTTATTGGTTTGTATGACTACTGTAGACCTACTTCTGCCCACGCCTGCATTTCGCAGCAGGAGAGAGTTGATAGATGAGGATGATGAATCAGTTGTTCTCCAGGAGCTCCATTATGAGCCTTTGGGGGCCATTGGGTAAGCAATTCAGTGTAACCTGTGGCACCCAGGGAGGGAAGATCCTATTAATACACTAAGCTGACCTGATTTTTCTCACCTTCAGGGACTTAGGGGATGCAAAGGCTGGAGGGAAAGCTCAGGTTCTCATGGACTGAGCAAATTCAGCATATCTTATTTCTAGGAACCCTTGCTCTTCTCCCACTCTGGACTTGACTCATGGTGTTCCCTCCACCTCAGTGTCTATCGCACACCCCTAAATTGCTTTCCTCTGGGACAACCCTATTCACCCTCACAGTTCAGGCTCATAGATTCATTCCTCGTGAAGAACCCCACCTCCACAAGCACCTCCACTACTAGGCAGAAGTAACCCTCTCTTTTTGGTCCCTGAACCTTGCTATGGACAAATCCATCTCCTTCACAAAAGTTTGTCTTCTTCTTACGGGTGGAGACCAGTAATGGCAAACCTATGACACGCATGTTAGAGGTGACATGCGAACTCATTATTTTGATTGATTTTTCTTTGTTAAATGGCATTTAAATATATACAATAAATATCAGAAATAAAAGTCTTTGTTTTACTATGGTTGCAAATATCAAAAAATTTCTATATGTGACACGGCACCAGAGTTAAGTTAGGGTTTTTCAAAATGCTGACATGCCGAGCTCAAAAGGTTCGCCATCACTGGTGGAGACAGTGTCCACAGCGCCTGCATTTTCTGTCTGCAGGTCAAACAGTGCCTGGCAGATGGGAAGAGTCTAGAAATGTTTGTGAATTTAATGTAATCATGAGGACAATATGGAAACCTAGTGGGAGAGTGTTTGCTCTAGAAATGTACACAAACAGCCTCCTTAGGTCATCCTTTCCTTTCTAATCTTAGGTTCAGGTGACCTTGATTCTCCAATGATGTTGGACTCTGGAGAGATCATTGACACAGGATCTGATTATGAAGATCAGGTAATTAAAACCTAAAAACATTTCGCTGTTTAAGTAGTTTTAATTTTAGCCTTTGTTAATGTTTCATGAAAATTAGAATTACAAATCATTTTGAGAAATGTTTACAGTAACATATATCCTGTAATAAATTGCAATAGCCTACAGCTTTCATTCATTAAATTTGGTCCTTTAGCTCGTCCTTATCCACAGATATAAAATGGCAATAAATTAAGAAAAGGTTTGTGGTCAAAAGTTACATTCGATAGAAATGAGGTTACCAGAGTTATCTTGCCCAAGAATTTGCCTGTGTCTCTATCACTTAATCCATAATAAACCAAAGGTATTTATTAATAAGCATTGGCTACAGGTTTGGGGATGTGCTTTCCTATATCTAACTTTTGAAAGGGACTGATGGCCAAGGGCAACACAGCCAGGGAGTTAAATATGTTTTCTATTGGAATAAAAGCAAAGGAATGTATCTGGGTCATTTTCTTCTTGGCAGAAGAACTTTC